AGGGATGGACACTGGGAGGAGGTAACTAGGGGGAGGAAGTGGGAGGGGAGCTGCTGCATTGTAAATTTTGGTCAATGACATGAGACAAAGTATACGTGAACCACTGTATGAAAAGTGAATTTACTCTGTAAATCTTCACCCAAATCCTAATAAAAAACATAGACCTGCTGGATCAGAGAACAAAAAGAGCCCTCCTGTCCACTCAGGAATGGACACAGAGAGGTGTGACTAATTTTTTTTTTTTTAAATATCCTCTCTCATTTCACTGCTACAAAAGGTCAGAAACAAAATCACAGAATCATGAAAGGTGATGTATCACTCCAAGAAGAGTTCCTAGCCAGGGAAAAGACCTCACTTCCCTTTACTCATTCCTTTGTGTCTAATGAACCCGTCACTCATGCAGCATGCAGTCAGACACTAGGGGCCAAAATGTCCAGCAGGAGGGCAAAGTTTCCATCTTTCCCATCTGACTTGGACCTCAGTTTCGCTCTCTGAGTCTCGCTGGATGTACTCCTTCACAGCACTGAGCCTGCCTTCCTCACCTGGTGATCTCCTGCTGCAGGTGGGAAACCGAAGGCACATAGAACACCACTCCAAAATAGACGGTAGGTTCCAACGCCTGCTTATCCAGCTGCTTCTTCAGGGGTTTCTCCAAGTCTACCCACCGGCGCTGATTTTGCTTGTTGTAGTACCAGAGGCTGAAGTAAGTGATCTGCAAAGAGGGAAGGTCATTGAAGGAGGCGACAATGTACAAAAGGGATTCAATCACTTTTATTGCAATAATCCATGAGCTGGGACCACGGGGCGGCAGTTTCCCATCGCGCTTCTTCTCAGAAAGGACAAAAGCTTGGGGCGGGGGAAAGGGCTAGCTAAAGAACCCTGATGATGCAACGCTTAAGCTCCAGGTTAAGCTCTCAGTTGCTAATGGAAAGGCTGGACGTTCAAACCTACCTAGCTGTGCCACGGCAGAAAGCCCTGGCAATCTGTCTCATAAAGATTACAGCCTAAAAAACCCTGTAGGCAGTTCAGATCTCTCACATGGGGTTGCTATGAGTCAAAATTGAGTCAACAGCACCCAGTAACATCATCTCTATCTAGACACTCCCATTCAGGAAACAGAGGAAAAAGTCAATGATAGCTATACCCCATTTCTTGAACCCTGCACAAATTTGCATTCATACTGTTTTACACAGTGGCCTATAAATCGGAAGGTAGTGAGTGCTACTTTTTTCATACAGCTTTTAATACAAGTTTTAACAAAAATCCAGTATGCTGAACGATAATGTTTATTTTTTAAATGACTGTGTGCAGAAGTTGAAACGAAGTAGGTGCTTGGCCTGAGGAGAGGCTTCTGCCAAAGATGCAGCCCGGACTCCATTTGTGGTGTTTGTGCTTATTCTCAGCTGACTTCCAAAAGTCAGCAGGCCAGCGTCCCTCAGGAAACCTGCCGGCTCCCCTTCTACCCCTTCCTCTCACAGCGTGTTCCCAGGAAGGGTATTTACGTAGGCTTGTTAGCCGCAGATAACAAGATTGTAACTGACTCAAAATTTATGATGAACAAAACAATAATGCTTACAGGACCTTAGAACTGTCTAGTGTCTGTCAAAGCATGACTGTGCAAATGCCAACCAATCAGAATTTTTTCCTTGTAAGTTTCTGGATTTTCTGTACTTAAACTCTTGAAAATGTCCTCTCGAGAGTATTTCTGTGAATCCTCCCAGAGTGCTGTCCAATCCAGATGGCACAATTCCTTCAATAATACTCTGCTGTGATTTTTAACAGAAAGTCTAGTTTGCTCTTTGACAACTGAAATAATAAATTTATCATAATATTTTTAAATACACATAGTTGGGCTTTGTCTTAGTTATCCAGTGCTGCTATAAAAGAACCACAAGTGGGTGGCCCTCACACACAAAATTTTCTCTTCTCTCACAGCTAAGGAGGCCGGAAGTCTCAGTTCAGGTCAGCAGCTCGAGAGGAAGGCGTTCTCTCCGCCAGCGCTGAAGGAAGACCCTTATCCCTCCAGTTCTCTGGTGATCATGTGGCATGGCGTCTAAACTCCTCCATCTCTTACTGCTGGGTTGTTATTTATTTATTTATTTATATCTCTTTTATGTCTGAAAAGAGAATGGCTTGATCCTGCCTCATTAACATAAAAAAGACAACCCATTTCCAAATGGTATTTTATATATAATCACAGGCATAGCAGTTAGGATTCACAACACATATTTTTGGGGGACACAATTCAATCCATAACAGGCTTCTGCCAAGTAGAATTCTGACTAAATAGTATTAATCTAAATTTTCACTACTCTACAAATCTGGCTTCTATAAATAAATTATTTGATGTAAGTATTATAAACTCTAGTAATAAAAGGCAATTCTAATTCTTCTCACCCCAAAAAGCTCATTAGATACAAATTTAAAACAACTAAGACTACAGGGATGTGTTTTTTTTCTCTCTCTCCCATAGGCATGTGTCTGCATGCACACACACACACAAAATGGTATATCTAAAGCAGTAAAATAACTTAAGTGTATGTGGTAATTAAATTTGTATGTCAACTTGGCTGGGCCTGGTTAAGTGGCTGGGCAGCTGGTCGGAGTTATTCCCCATGATGAGAATGGTATTCAACTCCATGGTGGGATCTACCACAAGCAGCTGAGTAGCTGGCCTTTGGGATGTAGTCGGCTTTCTGTATATAAGAAGAAGCCTTGGGGGGATTGATCGTCTATAGTTTATGGCACACTTGAACCCTGCATGTAGCCATGTCACTGTTCAGCAGTCTGCCATGCTCTGCCGACCTTGGGACTATCAATGGACTTGAATTAATGGCCTGCCATGTAGTTTCGTAACATCGGGACTGTGCCATTTTATTTGCCCACCTCGGGCTTGTTAGCCTCAGCAGCCAGTAGCTGAAAAGATGCCTGAGTGAAGAGATGCCTCTAGCTTCAGTGGGTTGGGAGCAAGAGGCAGAGCTGAAGCCCAAAGTTGAGGGGCTTTCCCACAGCCCCTAGAGCCTGGCACTTTGAACTCGGGCTTCTAGCCTCCCAAACTGTAAGAGAATAAACTCCTGTTTGTTAAGGTCATCCCACTGATGGTATATTCTTGTCAGAGTGGCACTAGGTAAGCAGAACAGTGTATTACTCAGAGCTTTAAAAAACACCTAGATGGGGACCAGGTTTGCTGGTCCAATAGAGCCTGATGTAACCACTGAGACTATGGCCCCTCGCTGCCCTTCAGGTCTGGAATTGAACCCACAACTGTGGTTTCCAGCCAAACAAAGTACAGGCATGTGAGTTAAACATTTACCTCAAGTAGACACACGCCCTGGAGAGAACAATCATGGGAGAAGGAAGGGCTGCTTATGCACAGGGAGATAGCTCAGGGTGCAGAAGAGTATGAAGGGACAGACACTGGGAGGAGGTAACTATGGGGAGGAAGTAGAAGGGGAGCTGCTGCATTGTAAATTTTGGTCAATGACATGAGACAAAGTATATGTGAACTGCTGTATGAAAAGTGAATTTACTCTGTAAATCTTCACCCAAATCCTAATTAAAAAAAAAAAAAAACACCTAGAAATCAGCATTGAGATCTCACGTGTTGTGTAGTGAAACCACTAAGGTAAATCCATATTGGCCCTGGGCCTGGTTAATCTAGGTTATCAATGCATTCAGTAGTTCCAAGAGTTGAAATGAGAACCTAAAGCCACTGGTTACATTTATCTCAAAATCAATTTCCAGATGAAGGCAATCAGAAAACTATTGTTTTGTCGATTTAGACTCCACAGCAACACTGTCAAATAGAACTTTCCACAATGATGTAAATTTTCTGTATCTGTCCAAAACAACATAAATGTCCAAAACAAAAACCAAACAGCCATGTGGCTAGTGAGTACAATGGAGGAAGTGAATTTTCAATGTTACTTGATTTTAATTAACTCAAATTCAAATAGTCACATGTGGCTGTTGTTGTTGTTGTTAGATGCCATCGAGTCACATATGACTCATAGCAACCCCATGCGCAGCAGAATGAAACACCACCTGGTCCCAAGCTAGCTCCATGATCCTTGCTATACCTGATCCCACTGTCATAGCCACTGTGTCAATCCATCTCGTTGAGAGCTTTCCCCTCTTTTGTCGACCCTTCACTTTACCAAGTATTACATCCTTCTCCAGGGAATGGTCCCTTCTGACAACATGACCAAAGTAGGTGAGACGAAGTCTGGAAATTCTCATTTCCAAGGAGCATTCCGGATGCACTTCCTCCACGGCAGCTCTGTTAGTTCTTTTAGCAGTCCACGGAACTTTCAGCACTCTTCACCAGCACCACAACTCAAAAGCATCAGTTCTTCTTTGGTCCTCCTTATTCATTGTCCAGCTCTCACATGCACATCAGGCGATTGGAAATATCATGCCTTGTGTCAGGCACACTATTGCCCTCAAGGAGACATCCTTGCTCCTCAGCACTTGAAAGAGGTTCCTTGCAGCCAATTTGCCCAGTGTTACACGTCCGCTAATGTCCTGACTGCTGCTTCCACTGTGTCGATTGTAAAACCAAGCAATGTAAAGTCTTTAACAACATCAATCTTTTCTCCACTTATTGTGATGCTGCTTACAGGTCCAGTTGTGAGGATTTTTGTTTTCTTTATATTGATGTTCCATACTGCAGACTGTATTCTTCAGTCTTCATCAGTAAGTGCCTCAAGTCATCCTCACTTTCAGCTAGCAAAGGTGTCTCATCAGTGTATCGCAGGTTAATGATTCTTCCTCCAATCCTGATGCCATGTTCTTCTTCATACAGTCCAGCTTCTCGAATTATTTGCTCAGCATATAGATTGAGTAAGTATGGGGAAAGGATACAACCCCGATGCACTCCCTTCTTGATTTTAAGCCATGCAGTGTTCTCTTGTTCTGTTCAAACAACAGCCTCCTGGTCAATGTACAGGTTCCTCATGAGCAGAATCAAGTGTTCCAGAACATTCCCCTTCTTCTCAATGTCATCCACAATTTGTTATGATCTAGACAATCAAATGTCTTTGCATAGTCAATACAACACAAGTAAATATCTTTCTGGTATCTTTGCTTTGAGCCAAGACCCATCTGACAGCAGCTATGATATCCCTTGTTCCACATCCTCTTCTGAATCCAGCTTGCACCTCTGGAAGTTCTCTGTCAGTCAATATATTGCTGCAATCGTTTTTTAATTATCTTCAGTAAGATCTTACTTGTGTGCGATATTAATGATATTGCTCGATAATTGCCACATTCTGTGGGATCACCTTTTTTTGGAATGGGTACATATATGGATCTCTCCCAGTCAGTTGGCCAGGTAGCTGTTTTCCAAATCTCTTGGCATAGCCAAATGAGTGCCTCCTGTGGGGCATCTGTTTGTTGAAACATCTCAGTGGGTATTCCATCAATTCCTGGAGCCTTTTTCTTTGCCAATTCCTTCAGTGCAGCTTCGACTTCTTCCTTCAGTACCATTGGTTCTTGATCATACTGCACCTCCTGAAATGGATGAAGATCGACCAGTTCTTTTTGGTACAATGACCCTGTGTATTCCTTCCATCTTCTTTTAATGCTTCCTGCATCTTTCAATATTTTGCCCATAGAATCTTTCAGTATTGCAACTCGAGGCTTAAATTTTTTCCTCAGTTCTTTCAGCTTGAGAAATGCCAAGTGTGTTCTTCCCTTTTGGTTTCTAACTCC